GAGTTATCTTTGTATTTATTTTGTGTTTATCATCACGTGTTTATTATTGAGAATAATTCTTCGACGTTATTGTGAATTCTCTCTCGTGATTTCTTGAGTAATTGTCTTAGTTTTATTTACCCTTTGAGATTTTATTTGAAGCTACGAAACCTAACGTAACAACATTAAGATAAATGAAAACGAACCCGATGACAATGTATATAATATTAATTTATAATATAGATCATATAAAGAAAAATTCATTAATTCTGGTGATAAAATATAAACAATTAAGTAAAAAACACATAGTTATATAACACCTGATTTTAAATGTTAATTAGTTAATTTTATAATAAAATAGACAGATATTGGATAATTATAACTGTAATAGAAGTGTTCTTTGTTATGCTTTAAATAATAAATTTTTTTATGTAATCAAAATTATAAGCATAGTTTTAAATATTTAATATATGATATAAATATAAAAAATTTTAATAAATTTTTTGTTAAGCTTTAAGCAATATTTGTATAACTATATATTCAATAAAATTAAAATAAAATAATTAAAAAATAATTACATAGCTATATATGATAATTATACTTTAACTGTGAAGTAATTTGCAATAGCAAAAGTTTAATTATTTAAATTGGATAATTATAATATAATTTACAGGTAATTATTAATAACTTTACAGTTATTATATAAATTTAATGTGAGTATTGATCCTTTTACATAAATATTATTAATTACTTTTAATTCGTGATACGCTTAAAAAGGAGAGATCAATAATCGATTTTCATATAAAATCAATGTGTTATAATTTCTTATAATTTAACCCCCGTTTTCAAATGTCAGTGTTTTTTTTTACCAATGCCATATATAGCGGCGGTCTCTTTATTTTGTAGCTTTATTTATTGAGCTATTTGAATAAAGTAACTTTGATTATAACTTTCAAACCAACCTTTTCCATTTTTTATGTTAGCTTAAGGAATTTTCAAATCCAAAATTCGAACTCGAAAAAAAAAATTTTTTTTTAAGAAATATAAGTATATCATTAGTTTGTTTTTTACGAAAAATCTATTGAAATATATTTATAAATTTCAATTATTCAAGCTAGATTTGCAAGAGTATCCGAATTTTAAAAATATTCTCAAACTTTTTATACAACTAAAAATTCATACTGTTGTAATAAGGCTTTGAAATATTATAATGTCAAAAAAATACTCACATACTACAAAATTGCTAGCTAGAGGTTTAATAGTGGAGAAATACCATTATGGAATATTTGTGCGAAACTGGTAGATTTCCTGACAAAAAAATATTATTCCTATTCGTCTTGGCATGCATGTGGGAGTTGAGCTAAATGCACAGCTTTTTACAATTTGAATTGTTGAAAGTATTCCAACTAAGCTATTACCAGGTTATAGTTGTGAAGCAGCAGGAGTTTCTTCTATACAATTAATGCCTTCAGCCGCAATTAATGAAGTATATAAAAATATTTTTAGAACTGCAACAGAATATAATGGACAAGCTATGATGGGCTTTGATGATGAACAAATAGTTAATGAGCTGTTAGAAGATGTTGAGTTTTATCCATTTACAATAAATATATAAGATATTTCACTTTTTGTTGTTGGGTTAAATTTGAATAGATTTGAGATGGGCTATGTATCAATATTTACTAATAGGTTTCGTGGTCAGCGTTGCTTATTTGTTCAAAAAATAAAAAAAAATTTGTTTTGTATAGAAGTTTATAAAGATACGGAAATTCTTATTTATTATGAAGGAGATTCACCTAAAGCAGTATGGGAATCTATCAGAATTCTAAAAAAATATGGTGATACACTTTTTGGTTTAGATCATCCACAAATGCTAAATGCTATTCAAAAAGCTAATCATATCATATGTAATCATAATGATTGGAATAATGCGGTTATAATGAATAGGTTATTTGAGAAATATCTCAAAAGAAAAATTGC